AAATCCTGCTGAACAGGGCAGGCAACCTGAACAGCAGAGGAAAGGCAAGCAGACCTTTTAAATTGTTTGCAAAAAAGCCACCTGAGGAGCAGGTGGTCACACAGCATCCATCTTGTGCTGTTTTGAGCCAGCTGTCTGCAGATGGGGGGAAGTGAAGAACTGCCACTGTAGGTAATATTCAGTGTGTCTCTTTTCCTTCCCCTCTGAACATCTGATACCATGGCAGCATCCCTGCTCACAAGGGGATTAGGTGCTAGCACAGACCACTGCTGCAGCTATCCCTTTCCTACTGATTTATTCAAAAAACTTGGAAAAGTACATCCAGCAGCTGAGTTCAGAAAAACTCTGTTGAAAAACATGCTTGGCTCTGCAGGAGCTATTGCTGTGAGATCTGTGAAAAGAGCAAACTCCAAACTCTCATGTGTAGCAGGGGTGGGGAATGGAAGGGCTGTGGGTCTGAATGTGTGTAGGAGGAAAAGTGCCTAGGGTCTCAAAGCAGCTGGAGGGGTGGCCACACTAGACAGTTTTTTAATTTAACTTAGAAATAGAAGGAAAATAGGAATCACAACATTTGAAACATCTGCCTGGAAATGATGGTGTACTTGATGTATTACTTTCCATAAACCCAGTGAAATTATAAACCCAGCAATGCCAGGTTTGCCTCTTCCCCAATAGCTCCTATGCTGTTTGTCCTCCTGGGATTAACACAGTAAAAAGGAAAACCATTTTTTGTGTGACTTGGGTGCATCTCTGCTAACTTGTCCTGTACCTGCAGGAAAACTGACCAAATTGAAGCTGCTGTGAAGGGCTACTCAATCATTAGTCCACAGGGTGTCACAAGCCATGGGATTTCAGTGCCTTACTCCCAAGGGTAACTGAACAGTCAGTAAGGCAAATCCTCCTGAAAGACACCCTACTTTGAAACATTCAGATAAGCCCAGTAGCATGATCAAAATACACAGCTACAACAAGGGCTTCCTGCCATGGATATGCAAATATTGAGATCAGGTCAAATGACAGACCTTATGCAAAGCAAACTGTGAGTGCTGTTTACCTCCGGGTGCATGCCACCCACAGCTACAAGGCTTCCTTCTTTTATCCTTGTGTCAGGTAGCTCTTGAAAGTTTTTCTGCTGAGCAATAATTTCTGCACCTTGTTCCAATGGTTGCCCCTTTCATGTGGTCCCCCCAGGAGTCTGTACTGCCGTGCCTTGACATAGCCTTAGGTTTGTCCAGTTTCTTAGGCCTGAACCAGGCTGTCTAAAAAGCAAATGCTGGTACTTCATCGGTATTTTTAAAATTTTCCCCTGCCAGAATCTCACTGCTCCTCTGGAAATAAACAATTCCTGGGGCTGCTTGCTCAAAACACACATTTTGCAGCCTTATTACCATAACGATTCTTTCCAGAGATTCTCTCTCCATATGTGGTTTCCTTCATGCTGTGAGCAACTCGGAGACCACACGAACATTTTTCAGCTCCTTCTCTTCAAGAGGCAACAGGGGAGGGTGGTCCCAGTTCCCTGCAATGGAGACGATGCTGGAAGCGATGCTGGAGTCGAGGAGTGGAAGAGATGTATAAACATGGAGGCAGCATGCCTAATTAATGTCCTGAAAGCAGCCGTAAAGGTCAGTTTGTTTGCGGGGGCCGCACTCCAGGCACGCGAGCTGAATGCGGACTTGTGCCTCGGAAAGGGCACTGCCCTCCCGGGATGGCAGCTGCAGGAGGGGGAGCCATCACGGGAGGCTTGACAGAATCAGCCTCACTCATTAGTGTGCACCCAGGCCAGCCCCCTTGTCTGGAGCCCGATTCCTCGTAGGGCTCTGCTGAGAAACCAGGCTGCTTTCTGGGGAAAGGGCAGGCTCCTGCAGGTCTCTGGTGTGGGATGCTGCAGAGAACAAGCTGTTTTCTGGGCTGTCTTGTCAGGCACTTGTCGACTGAATTTGATCTGCAGAGTCTTATTACTCATATTAACGCTGTCAGCAGCACACATGCAAAAATTGAGTGTCTGGATGCAAACGCCAGGGAATTGTTATAAAAATGTGTTTTGCTAGTTGTTTTTTGTCTCTGTGGAACTTTTCTCTACAGTCTTCCAGGGGCTAAAAATTCAAGCTTATTGCCTAATTCCAGGACTCTGGGAGTTAAGGTTTTATGAATATTACAAATTATCATCAAGCATGGTATAAACTTGTAAAGACAGCTGTCCTGCAGGACAAGGTGTGCCATGGATTTTCATGTGAGATCTTCAGGGTATTTGTCAGCCCTTGCAATTTCTGACCAGCCTGCATCTCAACAACTGGGTAGAGTCATGAGATAACCTGCAGAGAAAATCAAGGGAAGACTTAGCATTACTGAGTCACTTTGCAGACAGCGCTGAGCACTTCTGGTGTCAATAAAATCACAGAGATGTCACACGCACACAATGGTGGCAATGAGAGGAAAGTGCCTTTGATGAGGCAGGTTTTCTCCCTCTTTGAGATGAACACAATGCCATCCCAGCTGTTCCCCACTTGCAGAGAGCTCTCTTTCTAGTGGTGTTTCTGGGACAAGCCCTTTTCTTCAGGTCTTTGGCTTCATGTTCCCCTCGAGCTCTTTGTCCCAGCAAAGTGAACTGATAAAAGCTGCTTTTGCCATGCAGTGGATCAGGAGCAAGGTTGTTGGCTGTGTTTAGCTTCAGGCAGTCTGAGGGTGTCTAGCTACGAAAAGAGACAGAAAATCAAGGCAGCTGGTCATGCTTTGTCATTTAAATCGGCATTCTGTCTGTGTTGGAGAATACAGAGAGCACGGGGAGAAGGCAGGGTGTTTCCAGAAAAGCACCATCCCAGGTCTGAGCAAAGAATCTCAGCCAGTCCCTGGTGGCCTTAGTGAAGGTGAACTGTTAGAACTGAGATGAACTGATCACAGAAGAGGCTCATCATGCAGGCAGGGCACAGCCTGCACCCTTCCCTGTCTGAGTCCTTCCACCCAAGCAGTGACTAAGGAGGCTTCTGCCAAGAGTGATGAAGACTCCTTATCTGAGGAAGACCCTCTGCCAGGCGCAGAGCAAGGCACCCTGCAGAGCACAGCAGTGCCCTGCAAAGAGCAGAAGGCAGGAGGTGTTCACAAAGTCCAGCATATCCTTGATCTTGCCATAGACTTAGGTGACTTAGTCCTCTCATCCCTGCAGTGAAGTCTGCAGTTGTATGTCACATTTTTTTGTCAGACAGAGATCTTTTCTGTGGGAATGTCAGTCATCCTGGGTTCAATTTACAGGGTTTGTTACTCTCTGCATTTTGCCCTTTTCCCAGACACATCAGTGCAGTGGGCCCTGCACTCACTTGCTCAGGCAATGGGATTCCCCCTCACTCAGCCCTGTGCCAGCCCAGAGGCTGTGCTCTCTAGCTCCCAGACCCTGTCTCTCCCATTCCTGTTCCCTCTTGGGCGTCACTGCTTCTGGGCCTGGCTTATAACACGGTGTGTGGCACAGGGACAAAGATGACAGGCCTTCCTCCCTGAAGGCTTTCCTGTTGCAGAGGAAATCGGTTCATTGGCCCGAGCATTCAGCGCGGCGACTGAGAGCAGCCTGAATCTGGAACACCAAGTGAGCATCACCAGAACCATTTGAAAACGAGGAAAAAGAGGCCGTGAGTGAGAGGATCGGGGCTGGAGGCTGTGTGCTCTGCGGGTGAGTGATCTGTGCTGAGAGCTGGCAGCGCCGGGGCCGGGTGGGATACCTGGAGCGTCACTGTTGTTCCTTCGCTGTTACAGAGCTCCCACGCTGCTGCAGCCATGGAGGCGGGTGATGCCAGCCCCGGTGCTGCTGGGGAGGCTTTTCAGGTGTGGGGCGCCCCAGGCCAGGAGCGAATGTGCTGAGCCAGTGCTGTGAGGTGGAGCCGCCGTGGGTGCCCGTGCAGCGGGGCTGAGCCGGGCTGGGGTCGGTGCGGCGGTGCGGGGCTGCCCCATCCCCGGCTGCTCTGCCGCCCGTCCTCCCCTCGGCCGTCGGGGGGATGCTGCAGCGGGGGGATGCTGCACTCCGGGGATGCTCCAGCGGGGATGCAGCTCGGCCCGGCGGCTGCAGTGAGGCACCGCGGCCACCAGGTGCCACTGCCCCCCCGCGCTGCCCGGGGCCGCCGGCAGCGCCCGCCCGGCGGGACCGTCCGTGAGCAGGGACCGTCCGTGCTCGGGGACCGTCCGTGCGCGGGGACCGTCCGTGCGCGGGGACCCTCCGGCCCTCCCCGGCTGACACGCGGGGCCGTGGGGAAAGCGCTGCCCTCGGGGCTCCCAGCAAGCACGGCCGCACAGCCGGAGTGGAGCCCGTCCGTTCCCCGGCGCACACGCGGAGCGGGGCGGCGGCTTCCACTCCCTCGCGGTCCGGCTGTGTGCACCCCCGGCCGGCCCGCGGAGGCTGCGCAGCGGCCGCACGGTTGTCGCCTGCGGTCACTCCTCGCACGCCCATCCTCGGGGACGGCGGGGCCCGCTCCGCGGAGCCTCTCCTGTCTCCGGGTGGGGCGGAGAGCCGGGCTGGGCGAGACGATGGGACGGGGACAGCGTGACAGTGGGTGCGGGTGTGTGCGCGGAGGGGCTGGGGAACGAGCGGGTGTGCAAACACGGGCAGTGCGAGCGGGTGCGGTGTGCGCGGAGCGGGCTGAGAGCGGAGCGAGGGGCGTGTGCGGGGGACGCGCGGGTCCGTGTCGGTGCAGGGGTGCGCGGTGTGAGAATCGAGCTGTGTGTGTCCGTGTGTGTCCGCCTGTCCATGTGTGTCTGTGTGTGCGTGAGCGCGCACCGGGGGCAGCTCCCCACGTGGGGCTGACGCGGCAGCCCCGGCCCGATCCGGGGCTATAAAGCTGCTCGGCGGCGAGCGAGGCAGAGCAGCCGCGGCCGGCTGCAGCTCCAGGCTCGGCCCCGCTCCGCCCGCCCCGCCGCGCTCGGGGGTCCCGGCGGCAGCGCCCAGCATGCGCCGTGCCCGCCCGCAGCCCCCCGGCCCCCGGCGCTCCGCTCCGCCCCGGCCGGCACTGTAGGACGCGGAGGAGCCGCGCTCGGAGCCGGGCGCGGCGCGGGTGGAGCCGGGGCGAAGGGCGGGGGTGTCCACGCAGCCGGGGTTGATGTTTAACCTGGAGCGCCCGTTCACGGAGAGGGGACACTTCTTCTCCTCCATGGAGTACCAGCGGCAGCTGGAGGAGGAGGAGGGCTACCCCCCTCCCGGCACCAATGGGACCTTCAACGACAGCGGGGCCGGGCCGGGCTGGGGCACGCCGTACCCTCTGCACACCACCATCACTCTCATCAGCCTGGCCGGCTTGCTCATGCTCTTCACCGTCTTTGGCAACGTCCTAGTCATCATCGCTGTCTTCACCAGCCGGGCGCTCAAAGCCCCCCAGAACCTCTTCCTGGTCTCCTTAGCCTCAGCTGACATCCTGGTGGCCACTCTGGTCATCCCCTTCTCGCTGGCAAATGAGGTGATGGGGTACTGGTACTTCGGTAAAGTCTGGTGTGAGATCTACCTGGCCTTGGATGTGCTGTTCTGCACCTCCTCCATTGTGCACCTCTGTGCCATCAGCCTGGACCGGTACTGGTCCATCACACAAGCCATCGAGTACAACCTCAAGCGTACCCCACGACGCATCAAATGCATCATCTTCATCGTCTGGGTCATCTCAGCTGTCATCTCCTTCCCACCACTCATCTCCATCGAGAAGAAGAGTGGGCAGCAGGCTGACCAGGGGGTGGCAGGGTGCAAGATCAACGATGAGAAGTGGTACATCATCTCTTCTAGCATCGGCTCCTTCTTTGCCCCTTGCCTCATCATGATCCTGGTCTACATGCGCATCTACCAGATAGCCAAGAGGAGAACAAGGGTCCCGCCGAACAAGCGGGCAGAGCGCCCCGAGAAGAAGCAGAACGGCTTGACTGACAAGGAGGACCTGCCAGCCACAGCGCAGCTCAACGGGGAGAAGGCAGCAGGAGGCAGTGGTGGGCAAGAGGGAGAGGTCAATGGCATAGACATGGAGGAGACCTCTTCCTCCGAGCACCAGGAGAACAACCAGTGTAAGAAGTCAGAAAGACCATCGAGAGGAAAGACCAAGACTAAGCTGAGCCAAATTAAGCCCGGGGACAGTTTGCCCAGGAAGACAGAGGAGGAGAGGAACGCCAAAGGGTCCCGCTGGAAAGGCAGGCAGAACCGGGAGAAGCGCTTCACCTTTGTGCTTGCAGTGGTGATCGGGGTCTTTGTCATCTGCTGGTTCCCCTTCTTCTTCACCTACACACTGATGGCCGTCTGCGAGAGCTGCTCCGTGCCCGACACCCTCTTCAAGTTCTTCTTCTGGTTCGGTTACTGCAATAGCTCCTTGAACCCTGTCATCTATACCATTTTCAACCATGACTTCAGACGGGCCTTCAAAAGGATCCTCTGCAGGATAGAGAGGAAAAGGAGTGTTTGAAGGACCCTGTGCTACTGGCAGGACTAATCAAGACTTTGTAGGAGTGAAAAGTGAGTCTCTCTCGGGCTGTGCTTGTGTGGGATGGTTTCCTTCAGCTCGTGAGCAGGAAGCCTTTAAAACCTGAGATGAGCCTGTGGCAGCACTGGGCAGCAGCAGAGAGGAGCAGCAGGCAAGTGGAGGTCCGAGGTCTGAGCCGTGGCATTCGGCTTGCCAGGGGAGGATGGCCTTTGACTTGCTTGGTTTATTTTGTTAGGTTGTTGTTTTTTTTTTTTTTTTCCCTTTTGCCAGAATCTTTCAGTGGATATTCTCATGACTGCTCAGTTTGACTCTTTAAAGGCAAACATCGTGCAGCTCTGCGAGATGAGCAACAAAGAGGGAGTATGCCACACCAGAGGTGTTGGCTTTTTTTATTTTGTTGTGTCATTTTCCCCCCCGTTGTATATGTAATGAATTTTGACCCCCTTGTAAAATACAGTATTGTATTCTTGAATTTGAATGCTTAATTTTTGTAAGGCAAGCAGCTTTGAAACTGTGAATGCTTTAATTATCTTTGATACCTTAAAAGTCTTTCTTTTCCAACCCCCTGCATAGCCCTTCACTCAAAACCACTGCACAACTAGAGTCATCCCCCTACCTGACAGTTTGATAATATTGCCAAAATTCCCAAATTTCTGTAAATTGTTTTGTTTTGTTTTGTTTTTGTTTTTGTTTTGTTTTGTTTTGTTTTGGCTATAAAGCTTACGATCACAGACCTCACCAGACTGGCTATTTTTGTTGTAATTTTTTTTATGTCGTACCTGTTTCTGTTTAATTTCTGTGTTGCCTGTGACACAACACATCTGAGATGGCAACTGCCATCTCGTTACTTATGAGAGCAGAGCCCGACAGAGTGGTGGCTTTGCTGTGCAGGCAGGGATGTCCCAGGCAACAGAGACTGTCTCCCTTGCAACGTGAGCCTTGGGACCCTGCCAAGCTCCCCACGAGTTAATCCTGTTTGATATTATACCACTCTGCAGCACTGAAATGTGTTCGATGGTCACTCGCTTCCTCCACCTCAACTGTAAATAGGTAACGTTTCAAAGCAAACAGCAGGGCTCTGCATATCATGTTATCTCATTTGTGCTGATTTGTGATAGTTTAACTTCTGCAGGATTTCCTGCAGAGAGGAAGGGGTTTGTGCACAGTGGCCGTTCGTCTTTCTCAATTAAGAAAGAGTTCAGCTTTTTACCTGCCAGTCTCATCTTTCCTAGGAAATAGGGAAGCATCCCTCTTTCAGTCTTATACAAGGCAAAACTCTGAAGTGGGAAACTTAACTTCCAGTTTCTCCATTATTTTATAATGTAATTAAGCTTTTTTTTTTTTTAATTAAAGTGTAAATATTGTGGGATTGGAGCAGGAGAGAGAGTTAATACTGCTTTTACACTCTTTCCTGAAATGGCTTTCAACTCTTTGTGCTAAAAAAAAACAACCCAAAACAAAAATGGACAGAACAAATCTAACATTCTTGTGCCATGAATAAATTTCTGGAGAATATTTATAGGAAAAACTTTTGATTTATCACAATAAATAAATGAATCTGAAATGTTAGGAAAACAGCTTTATCAAATGCTGACAAGTCACAGAAAGGGTTTGGAGAAAACAAAGTTTGTATACGTTGAATGTATAAATGCATTTGCCTTCTCTGGAGTTGTACGGTACAGAGGAAGAGACTTTAAAAATGTTTTTACTTTTGGGGAGTGTTTTGTTGATTTTGCTCTCTCTTTTGACTTTCTAATTAACTCCAAGTGTCCCCGGATGCATCTTGGGATTTGGAGAGCAGTGTTTACATTCACTTGCATTTTCAGAACTGAAATCCTCAAGAGGTGAGGAAAGCAAATAAACTGTGCTTTAATGTAAAAAACAAAACCAACAAAAACAAAACCAAACCACAAGCAGAA